AAAATCTAACAATAACAAAAACATCACTTAAAAAAATTAAAAGAGCTGGGTGGTGGTGTCCCACACCTTTAATCCCAGCACTGGGGAGGCAAAGGCAGGTAGACCTCTGTAAATTCGAGGCCAGCTTGGTCTATGAGCAAGTTCCAGGACAGCCAGGGCTGTTACCCAGGAAAACCCTGCCTGGAAAAACAAAGAACAACAAACATTAAAAGGTCTGCAGGACCAGAGAGCCACATGGAGAGTGATGACAATCTTAGGCCTAGGTGAGGGGGATGAATTCCATCTTAAAACATCGGGACTCAGAGTGATGTAGCTGGAAGGAAGGGACAGCATGGCCCACAGCTATTCACTTTGACAACAGCATGATAAACAGTTCTTCTAAAAGAAATTCTGTAATGCTGTATCTTTTTCAAAACATTTTTTCCTTGTGAACTAAGTGTCAGGGTAAAAATAAGTAAACATGGAAGACTATGTAGGTGTATGTCTCAGCTAGGGTTTCTGCTGCTACAAAGAAAACATTTATTTGGGGTGGTTCAGCCCATTGTCGTCATGATGGGGAGCATGGTGGTGTGCAGGCAGCAGGGGCACTGGGCAGTGACCTGAGCATGGGAAACCTCAAAGCCCACCCCATAGTGACGCACTTACTCTAACAAAGCCACACCTCCCAGTAATGTACTCCCTTTGGGGGGCATTTTCTTTCAAACCACCAATGTGGGTTTTTTTGTTTTGTTTTTTTGTTTTTTTAACATTTTCATGTTGCAGGAATTCATGGATAAAATATATGAATATATGGATTTTTTTTTTTTGGATGGATTCTCCTATGTGTAGCCCAGGCTGGTCTCAAACTTGAACTGATCTTCCTGTCTTAGCATCTAGAGTACCAGGACTACAGGCATGTGCCACGTACCTGGCTGAATATTGCTGGGTTTTAGAAGTTTGTTTTATTCCATGGATGAGTGCTTTGCTTACGTGTGTGCGTGTGCATGTGTGTGCGTGTGTGTGTGTGTGTGTGTGTGTGTGTGTGCGCGCATGTGTGTGTGTGTGTGTGTGTGTGTGTGTGCGCATGTGTGTGCGTGTGTACCACTTGCATGCCTGGTGCTGAGGAGATCACAGGAGGACTTTTGATCTTCTAGAATCAGACTTACAAAGTGCTGTAGTGAGACGCTCTCTTGGTCACCCCCTTCCTCTCACCAAAGACACTACAGTAGTAAGAATAGGGAAACGGGAGAAAACATTTCAGGCCATGCTGATGAGAGAGAAGACTAGAACCCAGGTTCTCGTCAATCTGGGGCTCAGGAAGGAGAAAGCTGCTCTAATTAAAGAGTGTGCGTGCTCCAATAGTCATTTCTCCAAAGAAGACATACAAGTGAAGAAATGTGTCACTAATTACTGGGGAATGAATGCAGGTTTGAATTATGATGACACCAACTCCTATTTGTTAGGATGATCTCCCCCAGCAGTGGTGGCGCACACCTTTAATCCCAGCACTCTGGAGGCAAAGACAGCCAGATATCTGTGAGTTCAAGGCCAGCCTGGTCTACAAAGCAAGTAGAAAACAGCTAGAGCTGTTACCCAGAGAAGCCCTGTCTTGAAAAAATAACAAAAACAAACAAAAGCCTCAGAAAATTAAAAAATTGGTCACTACAAGTAAAAACGTAAATGAACCAGTGTTGTGGAACAGAGTATGGTAATTCTCCCAAAAATTAAGACTAGAAAACCCATATAATAGAGCGCTTACTCTGGGGTACGTATCCAAAAGTTCCATACATCTTGAGGAGGTGAGCAGCCCAAATGGCCCCTGAGGGAAGAGCTGAGAGATGAAACTTAGTAAATCCGTCTAGTGGGATACTTGGTTCCAAGGAAAGGAAAGTCAAGGTAGGCATGGTGGTGCATGTTTGTAAAGCCAGTACTTGGGAGGCAGAGGTGGGAAGGTTGTCCCAGATTTGAAAGGACACTGATCTGTTCAGCAGGTTCCAGGCCAGCCCAGTGAAAATGAGCAAATAAGGTTTTACAACGTATAGTGAGACATGGGTGGGTCTTCCAGACATGCTGCAAAGACCTGTATGTCAGTCTGTGATTCAGTTACATGAGAGACTACTCGCCAGCAGAGCTTAAGTGGAATGTAGTTTGCAGCGGCTGAGGTAATGGAAAGCGTTTAGTTTACAGAACAGGAAGAGTTGTAGTGATGGATAGTGCTAGGATTGATGACAGGTGTGGAGCGGATCTGGGGGCTCAACCTAGGCCCCTGGTGATGGCAGACACTGCCAACTGAGCTGCACCCCCAGACTCAATAACCTTTTCAGTATTTCTGATTGCGGCTGGAGCTTGCTGCTCTTTCAGATAACCCGGTATCGGGCAGCTCTCCACCTGCTGACTCCAGCTGCAAGGGGTTCAGCGCCCTCTTCTGGCCTTCGTAGGCATCTACAGTTCCTACATTCCAGCTTGAAGGAACTGTAGTGGACCAGTCTCTCTCTCTCTCTCTCTCTCTCTCTCTCTCTCTCTCTCTCTCTCTCTCTCTCTCTCTCTCTGTGTGTGTGTGTGTGTGTGTGTGTGTGTGTGTGTGTGTGTGCACATGCATCCTTCTTGATCTGAATTGTGTCTGTCTTTGGGGACATGATTTAGAAATTTTTCCCAGAAGCTTTCCTTAACACTTTCTACTCAGTTCAAACTTTTTACTGCACTGGCACACAGCCAGTGATTTTGTTGCGTGTCTTTCTGATCCGCTGTCCTCCTCCCTGTGGAATCTGTTATCACAGGAACTACTGCATTCACTGTAGAGATTGCCTTGCAGAGAGTGAGCATCCAGAGACTGTTTGGATGCTCCAGTATGTGAGGACAGAGGACTGCATTTTAATTAATCACTTTACTCTAAGTAACTTTTCTTAGGTTACGTGAAGCAGCTTTGTCTACAGTAAAGAAACTTAAGGTGGTTTAAGCAGTTGGGATGTGCAGTGTACTCTTGGTCATCCTGGTTTGATTTGTCTCTTACGGTGAAAACAGGAAGACTCTGATAACAAACACTTGAGTAAACATTGAGCGTCAGAAAGAGGACAGAGGAGCCAGGTGTGGAGACACAGCTTTTAATCCTAGCAGAAGCAGGGGGCTCTCTGTGAGTTTGAGGCCAGCCTGGTTCACGTAGTGAATTTTACGACAGCCAGAGCTACATAGTGAGACCCTGCCTTAATGAAAAAGAGGACAAAGTAAATCTTTTCCAAAAATTTTAAATGGGTCTTAATTATTTGTAAGTACTTTACAGGCTGGCACACTGATTCTGTAGTATGTTTAACTTCAAATGGACGTTATTATTATTATGTGTGGAAAACTGTTATTTCTCTTCAGCTTCTGTACTAGCTGTGAACTCTTTCAGACCGGAAGTGGGCAGATGCTGGCATGGAGGGAGAGCAGGAGGGAGGAGGGTTTCCCGAATACTCACAGCTTTTAGAAAGCAGGCGACCGTGGGAACACGTGCCACAGATGAAGAGTGGCCGTGGGAACACGTGCCACAGATGAAGAGTGACTTGTGTAGGGTTAGTGTAGTTTTAGACACCAGAGACAGAGCTTAAACTCTTCACTCATGACCTGTGTGTGTGTATGTGTGTGTGTGTGTGTGTTTGTAAAATAAGTATACAATGAGTTAGTAAATCATGAAATTTGTTTGAAAAAATTTTGATATACATACAATTATACCAAAAGCAACCCTGTGTACTTAGTTCTACATAAAGAATTAAATGTTGGCTAAATATGTGATACCACCAGACACATTATCAAACATCTTCATAGTAGATTGGTACTTTGGTTTTGCAATAATCAGTGCTGGGCATGTTGCTTGGCATAAATGCATAGTATGAACATGGCAGCGGTACGTTTAGAACCACCTCAGAGGTTGTTAGAGAATCTGTCCAAAGCCGAAATTCGCTGACCGGCCTTTATGGAACTGAAGTGAGCCTCCAGCTCGGTGCTTTTTAAAATCAGACCTTGTACTGCAGCACACGCCAAAGGTAGACTGGTTGGATGCTTTTGTAGAGGAATGAAGCTAGGAGAGCGCTGCCCTTGTTTCTGAGGTTAAGCCTCTATGTTTGCACAGGAATAGAAAGCAGTGTAAGAGCGTTTAGTATGCTCCCGCCCGAGCAAGGCTCCTGATTGTAAGAGCGTTTAGTATGCTCCCGCCCGAGCAAGGCTCCTGATTGTAAGAGCGTTTAGTATGCTCCCGCCTGAGCAAGGCTCCTGATTGTAAGAGCGTTTAGTATGCTCCCGCCTGAGCAAGGCTCCTGGTTGAAGCAGTGTTCGTTGGTGTTGGGAACAGATCGTGAACAGTGAACTCACGTGTTGCAGTACGGTAGAAACATCGCAGATATATTATCACCTGTTCTGATATTAAATTTATTTTTGATTGAACATTAAAAACCTTTTGAGCTAGAGAAATGGCTCATGCAGAAGACCTGGACAGCTCTCTAGAGCTCACGGCTGTCTGTAATTTCAGTTGCATGGCATCCCACAACCCCTTCTGGCCTCTGAGTGCACCAGGCATGTATGTTGCACAGACATACATGCAGGCAAAACTGATACATATAAAATAAAACTAAATTTTAAACCAAAAATAATCATCAAGGATGCAGGACCAGGGCACTGCAGGCTTAGACAGGACTTCCGGTCTGGGAAGGGGTCATATTTATAGCAGAGGGCATGTGCTTAGAGACGTCAGTTAGTCAGTAGAGAAGCCAGAGTGGCCATAAGAACTTCTGTGCATGCATTGGTTACTGTAAAAGTCTAGCTAAGGCACTAAGTAGTTTAGATCAATGTTTTAGATACTTGACTTTGTTTATACAGGTCAGCTTAACTAGTAGTGCTGCCAGAAGGCTTCGAATGAACACTTTTCCTTAAAGATAAAGTCTCAGGGCTGGGGGTGTTCTTCAGTGGTTAAGAATGTGCGCTCGCCATGTGTGAGGTCCTAGGTTCAACTGTCAGAAAGAGATTGATTTTTGTTTGTTTGTTTCTTCTAGGTTGTTAGCAACCGAAGACATTGCATTTTGAAATATGATTAATCTCCTGATGCAGCATCAGAGGCTAACAAGATTAATGGCCAGATCTAGGTAAGGTGAGATTTTCCTTAAATGCAAGGAATAATCAAGTTAACATTGTTTTATTGTTGGTCTTGATTTGCTGACTTCTCCCATTACCAGAGGGTAAATGTGAACGGCTTTTAATTAAACATGCGCTTTCCTATGTAGGATGTTCAGCCAGCTTGTGGGAGTCTAACCTCAGGCAAAAGCTGCCTGATGCTGTTGAGTACGCTCAGATGTCAGCGATGTCCCTGTGTGCAGAGTGCTGGAGAAAGGTGCTTGTGAGAGCGAGCTCACAGTCCTTCACGGTCCTTCACGGTCCTTTATTCTGTGCTCAGCGTGAGAGTGCTGTAACTGCTGAGCCTGACCCCAGGCCCACCGTCCTCTCCCATGGCTGTCATGGTCCGTGCGTGTGTCAGGATTTGTCTAAGCTGCTCCCTCAGAACTGTGCTTACGTATTCAGTCCTTTTGTGTGTCTTTGATTGGCTGTTGTCTGCAACCTCAGCTTGGACAGCTGAAGCTGAGGTCATTGTCACTAATAGCTGAAGCATTTGGGCTATGGGACCCTGCCTGTCATCTGCACGGTGACACTTGTTTTCTGCTCCTTTACACCAAGCCAGCCTCCCAGCTCTGTCAACCTCGTTTTAAAAATTCATCACTTTCTTCTTCGTACCTATTCTATTGCTGCTGCAACTCGAGGGCTTCATCATTCTCATTTTTAGATCTGTTGATTTGAGCTAACCTCCTGCAGATGAGTTCTAAGTGCACACCTGGCCATCTCCCTTTCCTAGTTAAAATGAATGCATTTAAGGAGCTCAGGGAAAGACTGCCATGTGACTTTAAGATTTTCAAAATGTTTCTATCAATTACTCTTCTTAAACTTAAATTATTAAACGAAGAAAATGTTTAACACTTGTCAGTAAAAACTTCAAACATTTGTAGACCACATGCTATGTTCAGTGTGCTAGTGTCCTAGAGAGTGAAGAAGACAGGGTGCCTGTCTTCAGATCACCGCAAGGTGGGCCAGGTGACCAGCACACAAAACCATGTTACTGTGGGACACTGCAGGTTAGCATTTTGTTAGGTTTATATACTAGTACAACTTTTCATTTAACTTTAATTGCCAGACATTCTTTTCCTTAGAGTAGTTCATTTAGTTTACAAATGGCCTAAGGTACCTACTTAGTGTTGGACACTAGGTGTGCAAGGGTGAGTAAGGCTCGCTTCTGCTGGGAAGGAGCCCGTAGTGGAGTGCAACCAGTATGTAAGTGGATAGACAGACAGCCACAATCTCTGCTGCTGAAGACAGAGCCCGCTAGGTGCTGTGCTGCTGGGCAGCGTGAGCATTCTAATTAACCTGAGCGGTTGGGGCCAGGAGAAGTTTCATCTTGGAAAAGGGAAGCCACAGAGAGCTGTTGTGGAAGGACTGATGTGCAGAACGTTGGTTATCTGTTCTAACTAGAAGTAGGGTAGTTCGAACAGCGGAGAGGGGAGTTTGGTTTTTAAACCTGAAAATGGTTAAGGAAAACAAAACACTGAATTTAAATGGTTTCAATCAGATCTGTATCTGTACTGTTGTGTGGCTCCTGTGCGTCTTTGCCTAGCCTGTGTAGCAAATAGCCTATGTATTCTGCTTGTCTGCTTTGTTTAGAATTAATGCTTTGACATACTTGGAATGCTCTTGAACACTTATTGTCACCTCTGTAACCTTTCATGTTGACTGACCTTCTATGGCAAAGGATTAAATAGATGAAGTGTATCAGGTTGGCCAATGTTGTGCTTCATTGTACTGGTTGAATTTTTTTTTTTTTTTTAAAGATTTATTTATTATGTATGCAGTGCTCTGCCTGCATGTATCACTTCAGGCCAGCAGAGGTCACCAAATCTCATTACAGAACGTTGTGAGCCACAATATGGGTGTTGGGAATTGAACTCAGGTCCTCTGGAAGAGCAGCCAGTGCTCTTAACCACTGAGCCTACTCTCCAGCTCCTCTATTGGTTGAATTTTGAGTTGACCTTCTCTCTTACTAATGTACTGTTTAAAATTTAATGTTGTAGCTGGGCCTTGGTGATGTATGACTTTAATCCCAGCACTCGGGAGGCAGAGACAGGTAGATCTCTGTGAGTTCAACGCCAGCCTGGTCTACAGATCAAGTTTTAGGACAGCCTCTAAAGCTACAAAGAAACCCTGCCTCAAAAAAAAAAAAAATTATATTTGATGTATGTTGTTTGCCAATAAACTCTTGTCTAATAAGATAGGGGGGGCTGCAACGAGTAATAAGTATCAGAATACTTGTTGGCTAAAGGTATAGCATCCTTTTAAAATTGTACACACACACACACTCACTGTCTGAAACAGGGTTTCGCTTTGCAGCCCCGTCTGGCCTGGAGCTAACTCACTGTATAAATCAGGCTGGCCTCAGATTCTCAGAGCTGCCTGTTCCTGCTAGGATTAAAGGAATGTGCCACATGCCCAGCTTTTACTTTTTAGAAATCTCTGATAAGCCATAGAAGATTAGTTTCTTGATTAGCTCGTGAATAACTGTAAGCTGATGTTTAGGTAGTAGTGCAGTTTTAGACTAAGCAGACCTTTGTAAACTAAACTGGGAATCTGAGGCTCTATGGCATGTACCTTATAGGATTTATTTACTGCCAAGCAGAATTGACCATCTAGTTGAATGAAATTTAGTTCTAAACATTATCATCATTGGGATTTATTTTCTGCATCAAAATTTCATGCTTGTGTGGGGTGTTTTCTAGTCTTTTCCGGTCTTGCAACTTTTGTGTCCTGATATAGTAACTTGCTTCAAATTATTTTCTGTGCAGTGTTCACATGGTCTTCTGAAGAAGCCATGGGTAGCTGCTGTAGCTGTCCAGATAAAGACACTGTCCCAGATAACCATCGGAACAAGTTTAAGGTCAGTAAAACCAACAGAACTTTGTTTTTCTTCTTCTGCCTACTTGGATGTACTTGAACACATAGTTTATTTTGCCTTTTTACTACACAGAACCTCTTATTTCTTCCCTTTTCCAGAGTCCACCTTTTCTTCTTTGAGTAAATGATGACACTTTCTTACTAACAATGTGGATTGTTAGTCCATTTTTTTTCTTACTATAACATACCTCCAGCTAAATAGTTAAAAAGAAAAAAAGAGGTTTATTTAGCTCGTAATTTTGAATAGAAAAGCTCAATTGGCATAGCACTGGCCCTGCCCAAGGACCCCTTTGCTGCACTGACTAGTGGTATAGTGTGGCAGTGGTCTGCACAACCAGAGCTCTGAGAAACTGGACTGGCCAGAGTCTCACAGGTCCTGTGTTGGTCTTGTTTGAGGCTACATCCACAGACCATCCATATGCCCGCCCACTCCTTAAACGTCAGCACAGTGATGACCAAGTCTCCCACAGACGAAGGGCTACGAGGACACGCCATAATAGGAATCCTCCTTTGGTTTTCATTTGGTCCTTTGTGTCCAGTTAATCATAAGTGTGGTAATCGTTTCTTTAAAATGTCATTTTACGGTTGTCTTGTAGTCTTACACTTGTCAACTTTCTGTTACTGTTCTGTCATCTTACATCACTATATGTCCCACTGCTATGGGACAGTGGTACAGTAATAGCCCATCAGGGCTTAATATGTTATAGAGCAGAATTTTGTATGTGATGATCAGGGTGTAGAAAAAGACACAGCTGGGATCTTCTTCATAGACATCTCCACAGTGACTAAAGACCCTTTCTTTTTAAGGGTTTGAGACAGACAGACAGACAGTGTTGCTACAGATGGGGTCTGTGCCTTTAACATTTAAGATTCAAACTTTAGTACCATCATTTAGACATCGTCATGCATGCTTTGTTTGGTGACCCTCCCTCCCCCAGGATTTCTGTGTCTAGGCTGACCTGGTATTTGCTTTGTAGACCAGGCTGACCTTGAACTCAGACACCTCCTGCTTCTGCCTCCTGAGTGCTGGGATTAAAGGCTTCTGCCACCATGTTCAGCCATGGTTTTTCTTGATAAGATGGTCTCCCCTCCGTATCCAAGGCTGTCTTGTAGACCTAGCTGGGATTGCAGCCTTGTGCTACCAATCTCTGGCTTGATTTCTTACTGGCACTATACTTGCATTTACCCTGTCCCCCACCCTGTGGTTGCCATCCAATTGGTCCTCTTCCGTCTTTCAGTAACCTGTGCTGATAAAATAGACTGGGTGCTCCCAGAGCTATTTAGTGTCACTTACAGTGTGAGTTCAGCTGTGTTACCTAACAGCTTTGTGCTCTTGGGCAGTTTGTGTGGTTATTACTAATCCTTCCTTCCGCTGCTGTAATGGAGACTTGTAGTCTAGGGTTGCTGTGAAGATTAAATGGGGAAGTACTTGCAGATCACCTGTGTGTGCCCAGGGGTTCCTTCCTTTGGTCTTAGTCTTTGGCCGTTCTGTGTTTGCAGCACTTGCAGAGGAACCTAGGGCCTCGTGCATCGTAGTCAGATGCTCTGCCACTGAGCCACTCGCACAGCCCATCTCGGGTCTTTCTGGAGCTGGGTAGTGCAGTCCTTTCATTACTGGACTTTGGGCCTGTCCTAATCTGGTCTCTTTAAAGGTACTTTCATCATTGTGTATTCATATTGGGTTTATATCTTGTGAGCCACCAGATTCCCCTCTTGCTGGGTTTCCTCTCTAGAGTTTATCATACTCAAGTCTAGTTAAAATCCCTCCTTGTTTTCCTCATGACCTTAGGCCGTCGTTCTCTCGGATAGTCTATTGTGTTCATTTGTCAGCTAATCTAACATAGTTGGACTTGGTGTTTGTATCTTACATCTCCAGTGGGAATGCAAACTCTATGTGTGAATAAATATTTTATTGCTACACACAGTGGTAGGTGGATGAACTTATCAGCAGTGCATTTGTTTCTGAAAATTGGTGAAATGTGCAGATTATTATCGTTTCTTCTTAGGTCATTAATGTGGATGATGATGGGAATGAGCTAGGCTCTGGCATCATGGAGCTTACAGATACGGAACTCATTCTGTACACCCGAAAGCGTGACTCAGTGAAATGGCACTACCTCTGCCTACGGCGATATGGCTATGACTCCAATCTCTTTTCTTTTGAAAGCGGTCGAAGGTGTCAGACTGGACAAGGTAGGTAAATCCTTTGTTTTCTCCAGATTTCATGTCTGGGAGACAGGTGGGGAATGGTGAACACTCTTGTACACCTAGCACTTGGGAGGCAGAAGCAGGAGGGTTGTTATAGCAAATTCCAGGCCGGCCAGTGTTAAAAAGGGAGACCCTATGCCAGTAAATTAAATAACCCCCCAAGCCCCCAAACAGGATGGTTAAAAAGATAAGGGGGTGAAGCGATGGCTCATGGGTTAAGAGCACTGACTGCTCTTCCAGAAGTCCTGAGTTCAATTCCCAGCACCCACGTGGTGGCTTGCACACATCTTTAATGAGATCTGGTGCTCTTTTCTGGGCAGAACACTATTGTAACAAAAAGTATTGGGGTTCAGGTCTCAAGCTGAAGATCAGAGAAGCCAAGCAAAACCAGTAGATCTTCCCTCTACCATGCTGAAATGATGATCCTGTCTCCCCAAGCCCCCGACTCCTGAAGACCCTGCTCCTGTCTTAGCCTCTCTGGTGCTGGGATCACTCTTGGGTAGGCCAGGGTGGCCTTGAACTGGGAGAGATTCAGCTGCCTGTCTCTTGAGTCCTGGGATGAAAGAAAGGTGTGTGTGTGTGCCTCCACCGCTTGACCTCTGTAGCTTGCTGGCTTTACTTTCTGAGTCCTCAAGGCAAGCTTTAATAAATCTAAGTAATGTATCACCACACACTGTATACATAATAAATCTTAAAAAGAAAGATAAATTATGGTTGGGCAGTGATGGCACGCATCTTTAATCCCAGCACTCAGAAGGCAGAGAGTTTGAGGCCAGCCTGGTCTATAGAGGGAGTTTCAGAATAGCCAGAGTTGTTACACAATGAAACACTTTCTCGGGAAAAAAAAAAAAGAAACAGATTAATTATGAATTCATTTATCAAGCATGCACTAAGTACTTTTCTTAAGGTGTAAATACAATGGCTAAGCATCATTTTTGGATCTTCTTTGGGAAAGAATGTAAACATTGAATTCAGAACTTTTTTTTTTAATTAATTTATTAGTAATAACATTACTAATGTTTTCCATTGGGACTTTGTATGATATGATAATACCTGTCTTACGGAATTGTGACAGTAAGTAGGTCATGATCATAAGCCCCATAGCCAGGCCTGTTGAGAAGTAGGTAGAGTATTGTTTGTTGCTGATGACTGAGCTCCCCTGCTGTTAAAGCTTCCAGAGCTCATGTATAGATCTCCTTTGCTGTCCTCTGAAGCACTGTCCATTAGACAAACAAGTTATCTGTGAACTTTATGGATTTATGCCTTGAAATGAGGCATCTGTACCTTGTTTGTCACAAGGTATTGCTTGCTGTTGGCGCATTAGGGTGCTGTCTCAGTCACTGTCCTATTGCTGTGAAGAGACCCCATGGCCGAGGCAGACCTTACTAAGGAAGATGTTTAATCGGATGCTGGCCTACAGTTCCTTAAGGCAGGGAGCTTGTTTATACATAAGATGGGCTTCATTGGCAGTGTCATGATGTATATAGTAACATTGACCACATCACTCCTCCTGTCCAGTCTTGCTCATCCACTGTGCTAACCCTTTTTCTTCCTGGTTACTGTCATCTACTTTCATAGCTTTGGGAGGGGACTTGGGAGAGTCCCACGGGTGCCGTTGGAGTCCTTTACAGGAACACGGCGAGTTTGTTCACAGGAGCATAGGCACCTTACCTTGGCTTCACTGTTGATAAAATACCTTTCCTTTCCACGTTAACCAGGTATAAATCCTAAGCCCCCGTGGAGCCAGTTCCCCTAGCCCACGACACAGTATGTTGGTGGGTCTAATAAGTTCAGTTGTTATGCACATAGTCACAGCTGCTGTGAATTCAAGAGTACAACTTGTCATGTGTGGAAGTCGGCATTGCATTCCACTCCCTTCCTTTGGGTCTGACGTTTTCCTGCCCTCTCTTCTGTACTGTCCTGATAATGGCAGGGTGTCCAGCAGTCACTGCTGACCAAACTCCTATGGCTTTTTTTAAGGCACGGTTGCCATGTTTCCCTTGGTTTATATTTGTAGGAATCTTTGCTTTTAAGTGTGCCCGTGCAGAGGAACTGTTTAACATGTTGCAAGAGATCATGCAAAATAACAGCATAAGTGTCGTAGAGGAGCCGGTTGTGGAAAGGGACACCCACACAGAGCCGGAGGCCCCGAGGACACCACGGACACCCACAAGTAAGGAGCCGTTCCCTCTGACTTTGCCTGTCAGACATTTGTACGATACAGGTTATGGGTATGTCATCTCGTAACAGTTAGAAATGGTGATCAACATCAAAACCTGTTAGCTGTAGTTACAGACATTTCAAGCATGAAAACAACTATGTCTCATTACCAGGAGTATGTGTAGCTCAGGGTCGGAATGCTTGTGCGGGAGGGGCGGGCGGGCGGGCGCTTTAGCACTGACAGAACAGTCAGCCGCTAAGGTAAGACTGGATGGGCTGCCGTTGTACTCCAGTTTGAACGTGTCCTGACTGGAATGTCTCACCAGCTCTAGGTGTGGATAGAGTCTCACTCATTTTTTATTCTATGCCCCTCCTCCCATACCGTCTTTCTCCTCAACTCAACGAAAACTCAGCTCCGGGATTTGCTGCTCAGAACTTACCTAATGGATATCCCCGCTACCCCTCATTTGGAGACGCCTCATCCCACCCCTCCAGCCGGCACCCTTCTGTGGGAAGTGCCCGCTTGCCCTCGGTCGGTGAAGAGTCTACACATCCTTTGCTTGTGGCTGAAGAACAAGTAAGCAGCTGCCATGGTGTGCTAGCAAACGGTTCTGTTCTGTAAAGCAGCACTGAGTCCCTTCTGCAGTGGCAGTGGAAGGGCGTGCGTTTCTAGCACGTGCTGAAACATGCAGATGCCAGGGGAACGTCTCTTTTTTTTAGTGGTCTCACTTCGGAGCCCTGGTTGTCTTGGAACTCACTATGTAGACCAGGCTGGCCGTGGACTTAGAGAGATCTAAGTGCTGGGACTGAAGACATTTGAGTATTTTGTGTGTTCATAGAAAGATGCATCTGTTGCTGAAGAAAGACAAACTCAGCCCATCCCCATAGTTGAAGAGTTTATGCTGCTTTTTATGTTTTACTTTGTTACCAGTGAGCTACAGATGTGAACCAAGTATTTGTTTAAACATCATTATCAGATAAGTCTATCTTTTGTAAGTTATATGATCATTTACCATTAAGGGATTTTTAGTATTTTTAAAGTAAATTTCTTTATGTTCTTTATATAGTACACATTTTTATATTACTTAGTATAATTAGATTTCCTCAGTTTTGCATTTAATTTTGAATCCTAAAATTTTTAGGTCTAGTCCTCAGGTTACTTGTAGACTGTTTCTAAACTGCCACTGTTTAAAGTTTATTATGTACAGTTTTCTGCCTGCATGTATCCCCGCAGGCCAGAAGAGGGCACCAGATCTCACTACAGATGCTGGTGAAGCCATTTCTCTAGCCCGTTACTTATTTATGAACCATGTTTTATTATCTTATCAAGGGCTTCTAAACCAGCTTCAAAATAATAACCCTTCCCTTAGCTAGCCTGTGATAGCCTCATACTTGACCAACTTTCTGCCTCTGCCTCCAGAATACTGGGGTTATAGGCATGTGTCACCATGGTCAGCTGATTCCCTGGTGAATACAATAATTGTTCTTTTTATAAATTAAGAGATTTTTTTTGCATTCTTTCCTCCAATATTTTTATTAGGTGAAAAGTTTTAAGGTAACAGTGTAGCTATAGAGGAAGTAATAAAAATCAATGTATGTAAAGCAGGGTTGGTGACATAGACCTGAAATCCCAGTATTTGGGAAGTAGAGGCAGTTGAGTCTAGTATGATGCTAACCTGGGCTACACAGTGAAACTGTTTCAACAAATTTATGCACGTGAATGGGTGTTTTGCCTATGTGTACTCTGCACCCCACGTGTGCAATACCTGTAGGGTCCTGAAGGGGACAGTGTGGTTACAGACAGTTGTGAGTTACCATGTGGGTGCTAGGAATTGAACTCAGGTCCTCTGGAAGAGCAGCCGGTGTTCTTAACCACTGAGCCATCTCCCCGGCTCCCTGACTAGTCAGGCTATGTTTGCTTTGTGTTTCACACTGGATTGATTTGCTTCATTTTCTTTTTAGGTACATACTTATGTTAACACTACAGGCGTGCAAGAAGAGCGAAAAAACCGTGCGAGTGTCCATGTCCCCTCCCCAGAGGCTAGAGTGTGTAATACTGAAAGCAACACACCGAAAGAAGAGCCAAGTAATACTGAGGACAGGGACCCTCAGGTTCTTCTTAAACCGGAAGGGGTCAAGTTTGTGTTAGGACCAACTCCTGTTCAGAAGCAGTTAATGGAGAAGGAGAGGCTAGAGCAACTTGGAAGAGACCAAGCTAGCGGAAGTGGTGCAAATGGCACGGAATGGGACACTGGCTACGACAGTGACGAGCGGAGAGACGCACCGTCCGTGAACAAACTGGTGTATGAAAATATAAACGGGCTATCTATCCCTAGTGCCTCAGGGGTCAGGAGAGGTCGTCTGACATCTACCAGTACCTCAGATACTCAGAACATCAACAACTCAGCTCAGAGGAGAACCGCATTGTTAAACTATGAGAATTTACCATCTTTGCCCCCTGTCTGGGAAGCCCGCAAGCTAAGTAGGGACGACGATGACAGTCTAGGACCAAAGACCCCATCTCTAAACGGCTACCATAACAATCTAGATCCCATGCATAACTATGTTAATACAGAGAATGTAACTGTGCCAGCGAGTGCTCACAAAATAGACTACTCAAGGCGTCGGGATTGCACCCCGACCGTCTTTAACTTCGACATCAGGCGCCCCAGCTTAGAGCACAAGCAACTCAATTATATACAGGTGGATCTGGAAGGTGGCAGCGACTCGGACAGCCCTCAGACTCCAAAAACCCCTTCCACCCCCCTCGCACAGACCCCTACCAGGCGCACAGAGCTGTACGCTGTGATAGACATCGAGAGAACCGCTGCCATGTCCAGCTTGCAGAAGGCGCTCCCACGCGACGACGGGACCGCGAGGAAGACGAGGCACAACAGTACGGACCTGCCCATGTGAGCCGGGACGGCTCTGTGCCCTTCACACCTTCCTGAAGTTTCTGCAAATGAAGATCAGTGCTCCCTCTCGTTCCTACACTAACCCTTTTCGAGACTGGCACGTCTTTTTCCGATTGTCTCCTGTGCATCTTTAAAGGGAATTAATGTGGAGCAGGCACTCCCTAGAGAACACTAACTTGGTTGTGCTCGCCTTTGTGTTGTGCAGCAGCATTCCCTTTTTTCAGTGCCTATTTAAAGCGAGAGTTGAAGGGGGTGACATGCCCGTCGCTTTTGATCCCATATCCAGGACATGTGCATAGCGTCCGCGTCTAAGTTGTGTTGGCATCTAACCCTTCCCTAAAGTCTCTTGATAACGTGCATTGCTAACATAACTCTAGGCTTTGAAGGTTGGACTCGTGCATTCAGTGCTCATGGCGTATGGTTTCCAGCATGGAACACGAGGAATCTTATTTCAGTAATTAAAGGCTTTTTGACTTGGGCCAAAAAAAAGAAAATCAAAAGAAACCCCACCTCCTCTGGCAGCGGTCAGCCCCTCTGCCCTCAGTGTTTCTAGGATGTGGATTGGAAGGCAGACAGGACCAAGTTCTGTTTACTCATCTCATGGTGTCATTAGAAGGGCATGTCCAGGTTCCTGACTCAGCATGACCATGGGTTAGGAATCAGTCTCAGGTCACTAACCCAAAAACATTTCAAGAATCTGCACCATGATCTCTTGGTGTTTCTTTTCAATAGATTATTCACAGCACATTGTTTTCTGGAGACATTTGTGCCATTAAATTCCCATTTAGCTTCAATTTTTGTGTTTCTTTTCCCCTTTGGTGTTTGGGTTGTCTTTGTTTTTGTATTGTGTTTCTTAATTTACAGTACAATGTTTCGGTTTGTATATCGTTTTTGGAATGGGATTCTATGTTTATTGTTACTTAGTTTGCAGTTTTGTCAAGTTATGGTCTTGAAGGTCTTTTTGGAACTGACTGTTATTTTCTAACAGGGTTGCCCTTGTCCAGTATTTATTTATCTGCTGTTTACTTTTCAAGTTGATGAAAAACATTGTTTCGATTTTAAATTTCATTTGTGTCCAGAGGTGAACTCTTTAGTAGCCGAGAAGTAAAGGCAGGTGCTCCTGAGGGCAAGAGCTTCCCAAAGGCACTGTCCCCTGTGGGCCTGTCCCCAGCACTTTAGCAGGGACTGCCTTGCTAGTCCCCCTCGCTCCGCCCACTCTGCTACCCTTGTGGGTGGACCCAGGCTCTTCTTACCCCTGATTTGGGTGAGCTGTTAATACTGTTCCCAGCACTGCAGGTACAGGGACATCTTGAAGCAATGCAATTATGCCATCATAATTGGGACCTGAAATGAACGAAAACTTAAACCGGCGAGAGTCCGGATGTCAAACTCTCAGAAATCAAAAATCAAAAAACAAAACAAAACAAACCACGCTCCAAATTCCCCAAGCACGTAGAATAAAGTAGAATAAAGAGGGTGTGGAAGGGCAGGCGGCCTCACAGAACGTTCACTTCTCTCTCTAAAGCTGAGGAGTCCCACGTTATGATCTGGGTATACCAGGCGTGACGAAGGTTGATTTAACAAGAAAACGTTTCAGTCACAGAACATTCAGAACTCATCTCGGAACAGGGAATAGATGAGAGGAACACTTGAGCGGGGCCACAATGAAGATAAATACTCCAGTTGTTGCCATCATTTTTAGCGCCGTCGGTTTAGAGCAGATTTTTTCTCTTGTTTTCCTCTGTAAACTCGGTGCTTATTAAAATGTCTGTCCTCTAGAAGTGCAGTGGGCTAGGCGTGCGGGCTCCGTGTTTAAGGTCCTGTTGGGTTCAGCCCTCCTGCACAGACTGCAGATCGTGCCAAATTTCAGTGTGGGGGGGGTAAGAACACGGACGGCAGCGATGCACACGGTGTCCTCTGTACGGGAGCCAGGCAGAACCTAGCGCTCCGGTGAGATGGCTGAGCCGCTGTTCCTTCTGGAGACTGGATGTTTCCTTTCCTTTCCTTTGCACTCCACTTTCCCTCCAGATTGGAATTAGATTTTATATATATATATATATATATATATATATATATATATATATATATAATACATATATATATATACATCACGTGTGTGTGTATATATATGTGTGTGTGACTAATATAATCACTACAGTCTATGCTTTAAATAGTAAATAGTTTAACAATGAAAACGGGACCAATTTGTCCGCTAAACATTTGATTTTAGGTACTATGAGTATTAAGAGGTAAAGAGGTGGTAATTTCTAGATGTCTTCTGGAAATTGCCTTTGTTTCTATTTAATCAGTCATTTAGAATACCACTCTCCTTTACAGTAGTCTCATACTGGGCATTAAACTCTGTTCTGGAAGGATGTACCTGTTACTATTTGGTGAATTTTGGAGTGAGTTTTTTTTTTTTAATTGGCACACATTTGTGGCCATATGGCCCAGATTTTCTGAGACAAACCTATCTTTAGACCATGTGTCCCTACTTTTTGGATTTGGAAGTATAATCTTGCTACCTTATTTCCCCCCAAATAAAATCCTTTTGTATCCATATAGATCATGGCATTTTTTTTCCAGACCAGGGTTGAAAGGTATGACTAGTGTTCTTCTGAATGTTTTACTTCTCAGTTTCATCTTCCTTTGAAAAACGATAATACGGTGCCTTCCCTCCCTCCAAGAAGATTGGCAAATAGTTCCTTTTCTTTACTGCTGCTGTGGGGTGAGACATGCACTTTACTCTCCGAGACTCAGCAAAAAGCTTCCACTTCTCAGTGTACCCAGAACAGACCACATTTGGGACTGGAGAAACTTTGCCAAGCAGTCTTTGTCACTATACTTATTAATGTTGACCTCCCCCATGACGTTCTAAGTCAAACTGATGTTTATTCCTTCCCACCCCAGCTCTGGCACAGCGTATAAAAATGTACCTCAATAATGTTCTATTAAAAATGGGACAGGGGCCTTATGTTTTCATAATTTTCCAACAGTGTGCCACCCTGTATTTGCCTCAAGGTAAAGGTCTTAACCTAAAGAGTACTTCCCAGTAACCCCTGTGTGGTTCTCTGTCCATAATGCCCGAGTGTTTTGTGCAATGTGTAGTGTGTATATATAAATACATATATATATATTCTTGAAATAGACATAACATCAGAGACATCATTCAGAAGCAATGTATTGGCATCTCATTCATATTTCTGATGTGAAGTGTATGGTACTATTTACTTTTTCCTTAATGTTTGCCAAATTTGAATCAAGGCGTTGGTACGAAGTTACAGAATGTATAGGAAACATTTTGGCTTGAAAAGTTAGCGAGTCCAAGCATTCAGACCCATCGTAATGTCCTCTGCCCCGGCCGGCACACCCTGCCTTCTTGCTGCCTGCTCCTCATCCCTGCTCCCTCCGTTTTCAGGGTGTAACAGCGCTCTCTTACAGCACCCTGTAGGTGAGATTCTCTTGCAGTTGGACAAGACACCATGGAAACAGCTGGTAATCAATAGTACAGAAGTCACCAGGTGCCACGATTGCATTAGTAAATGCAAAATAGATGTTTTATACAGGACAAACTTTGTGTTATGTTTCTATTTTCATTACATTGTATAAAAATGTAAGATTATTGTATGTCCTAATTTGCATTATAAATGTTTTTTTCCTACATAAAGGCATAAATATAGCAACTTTGTATAAAGGTAGCTTATTAGAGTTTAATTTTTCTTTTATAAAAGTTGTCTACAGTGGGGCTACCATTGCCAAATTGTATATGAGACATGAATTTTACCCCATGGTTAATTTCTAAACATTCCATATTTCTCTAATGAACGACGTGATACTGTACTATGCATAAATTGTGTTTTAATGCTGTTTCATATCAGCGTTTAAATTTTGCGTTTGCATCTTTAGTATTGGCAAAACTTAACCACTGTTAATGGGAAGAAAGCCTTGTTGTATATGTAACAGCATCGTTTGTTCTCTGTCCCTTCTTACCCTTTGTTCTTTATTCTACCCATCAGTGCCAACTTCATACATTTTGTAGCATGGCAATAAAGTTAACTTTTCCACTGAGGCGGGGTGTGGCTTCTTGGCAGTGGGTGAGGTCAGCACCCGGGCTGCCCTGGTTTTCCCCTTCTGCCTCCCTCTAAGCCACCTTGTCAAGCATCAGAAGTTGTATGTGATGTGAACATGCTTTTAAGGACCAGTGTGGATGTGCTTTAAAACTTTTTAATGTAACAAGTAATAACTAATTTTTTACTATTTGGAAAAAGAGTTCTTGAAGTACAATCAGACCTTTATTAACTGGAGTGTATATAAAGAATAAGGCGATAATGGAGTTTTGTTAAACAAGGGCTAAGCAACACTTTTTAAAAATTCTTATTTATTGTGGAACATTGATACTTTACTACCCTAAAATTATAGTGTGTAAACGATGGTGGAATATTAGACAATGTAGCATCTTGCAATGCCTTACTGTTATCACTCTGGCATAAATATCCATGAGGTACTCAAGCTGACACTGGGAACTGAGTTGACCATACACTGACCTTAAGTATTCATGAAAACTGCTTTGTTGAATAAAGTCTTGAGTTCTTACCGTCACTCCTCCCTTACTGCCAAAAGTAGATTGCAATAAAACCCAAATAAAAGCTTGGTTGGATACCTGTTGAAAGTTTTACTGTATTTATAACCCACATATTACTTGACACCTTATGAGAAAGGTTGCATTTTTTTAAAGAAGTTTTTTTTTTTTTTTTTTTTTTTTAATCATTCCAAAGTTGGGGAGTGGGGTTACAAATGTCAGTGCAGAGACCTTGTAGCCCAGAATAGGAAGTTGATTACCAACAGATAGTCGCTAGACATCTGACTGGCTGGTAAAAAACAAACTCTGGTCCTCTGCAAGATCGGTGTGTGCTCTTAATTACCAAGCCAAAGCGGACCTATGTATGCGCTTATTTGGCAGACTTTCTCACTATCTAATGTGTGTGGTGGAGAATCGTTTCTGTTTATCTTTCTCAGTTCTGGGACCCCAGACCTGCTTTTAGCCACTGAATGAGATTGCTAAACCTTGTCTAGTACAGCAGAATCATTTAAGCAATGTAGGAGTAGACAAATTCACAAATAATTGGGTGTTTACACATGCCAACATTAGAGAACACGCAAATTGGTTATGCTACAAATGGGGTGTTGATGCTCAGAACTTTAAAACTCTGAATATTTATGTAATTTTCCTTTGAAGATTTCCAAGGGTAGAATTGTTAACGTGTTCTTATTTGCAGGTGGCCTTAAATTAGGCCCTGTGCTAGTCACTGAAATAGCAGTCTTTGTCCTCAAAGCAATCTGTAGTTAGAACATCACTAATGATAGAAGGTGGTGTCTTTCCTCCCAAAGAACCAAGCCCTAAGACATATCACAGTTACACCAACCTCTTTGGTAACTCTAGAATGACAGTAGCCAATAAAAAGGTGTGTGTGTAGGACTGGCTCACACAGGCACAGACAGCTAAGTGTTCCTCAATGTGAGAACAAGAAACACTGGGACTCGATAATTCTTAGCTGAGGGGTTTGTCCTATACACTATCGAATATCCAGCAGCACCCCTGCGTCCCCGCCCCCACTCCCCCACAAAAGCACCAGTATCACTTTCTCAGTCCTGACAACCACCACTGTTTACTTGGGAGGCTGACCAGGAGGAAGAGGTTGGGCATTTTGCTCCGGCCTGTACAGCACTCATGACCTTGTCTATCAAAACCAGCCAAACAAAGGAAAGTATTCAAATGTTTCTAACTGCATTAGAGGAATAAAGTTGTCACTAGTTAATGACATGAGGCTGTAGAGCCGGCTCTCCAGCTCTCCGTGAAGAACACTTGCAGAGGATCCCTTAAGTGTGCTCCCTATCACATCAGAGGGCTCAAAGATGTAACTCCAAAACAAAGCTCTCAACTACACAGCAAGATCACATTTACCAGAAACAGCAGCCTTCCCACTATTCTCTACCGCCACCTGGTGACCACAGGGTGGTAGGAACCCTCTGAACTCACCAAACCTAACTTACAAAATATAGTAAAAACA